GCACACTGGGTGGGTTTTCAACGAAGGTACCAGGAAATGAGAGTGATCCAACAACGCGTGGTGAAGGGGACGAGAGACACTCTCCACAGCTCCCAGCACTGTTGTGGTGCCAGCTGGGATTTTTTTCCATATGTACTTTACCCCCTTTGTTACAGACTGTACCTCCAGCATCACCACACAGATCTGTTTGACACACTGGATAATTGCGTCGGGTGTCCCCGAGATTGTCACTGCCCGCTCCGTGGAGTTGGGCAGCATGTCCCCCGCCACTTGGACCTGAGCACCTGTTGACTGGAGACAGAAGGAGAGAAGAAGGAGAAATCCCACAACTGAATGCCTTCCTTTTCAGCCAGCTCCTGCTCCAGCTTCAACACCCGCACCTCCCAAGAGCCATGCTACCCTGCACGTGGCATCCCACTGGATGATGCTACTACATCGGGAAGACCACCTTGGGAAGCAATGTCATGCACAATGGATTCCCTTTTCCAAGGCAACCCCCTTTGGATGCAGATCAGCTCAGAGGAGCTGTTATGACATGCAATAATGAAATAAAATCTGACCTCTCTGATTTCCTTGATCTTGGAGCCTCCTTTGCCAATCAGTGAGCCGCACTGACTGGCTGGCACGACCAGTCTCAGTGTCACCGGAGGTTTGCTGGTAGCGGTGCTGTTGCTCATGGAGTTGGTTATGTCCTTGGGAAGGAAGAGTGCAGTGCATCAACCCTTGATACCCAAGCAGATGCCAACCCAAATGCCCTGGGCCTAAGAGGAGGGGTCATGTCCCCCACATGTGGCTGGCCTCTGTCTGCAGCTGCATCACTGCACATCCCTGCAGTTAATTTAACTGTGAGACCTCTGGGACAGTTCACTGAATCATAGAATCATAGAATTATTAAGGCTGGAAAAGCCCTCTGAGATCATTGAGCCCAACTATGAACCCAGCACTGCCAAGTCCACAAGCAATCCATGTGCCCAGGTGTCACATCCACACACCTTTTGAACACTTCCAGGGGTGGTGACTCCACCGCTGCCCTGGGCAGCCTGTTCCAATGCCTGATCACCCTTTCAGTGAAGAAACTATCCCCAATATCCAATCTAAACCTCCCCTGGCACAACTTGAGGCAGTTTCCTCTGGTCCTGTCACTTGTTACTGGGAGCAGAGCCTGACCCCCACCTGGCTGCACCTCCTGTCAGGGAGTTGTAAAGAACGAGAAGGTCCCCCTCGAGCCTCCTTTTCTCCAGGATGAATCTCCCCAGCTCCCTCAGCTGCTCCTCATCAGACCTATGCTCAGTTCTTGCCAATTAGAGATGTCTGGAAGCTTCTGTGCTGAGGCCATGTTCCAGTTAAGCAAGTCCAACCAGACACACATGGGTTGGAGGTCCCCAGGCCCATCTGCACCGCTGGTCCCAGCCATGGCATGGCTCGTATTTCTCACCTCCTCAAATTTGTAGGCGATCATGGCGAAAGCCTTGAAAATGGCATCAGTGGGGCCAGTGATGGTCACAATTCGCTCAGGGCAGTTTCCCTCTGAGATGTTGATCCTTGCCCCGCTCTGGAAATAGAAGAGTAGTCCTAGAATAGCCACAGCCAAGCAAGTTGGGGGTTCTCTCAGCCTGGTCCCTGGTCATCACCTGTGCCAGCCTCACGGCATTCCATCTAACCTTCCAAACTCCCTCTCCTCCTCTGCAGTGATTCCAGCATTGCCTTATCCCAACCCTCAGAAAGGGTTTCCAGTCTTATACTGCAATGGAAGCCTACAGGATTGAGGCAAGACCAGCTCATGGGGTCACTGCTTGTGAAAAGAAGAGTGTTGCTCAGTGCACTGATAACTCCCTGGGAGCTGCACGCACAAAGACCTTGGACACACTCAAAGCATCTTAGGAGTGACTTAATTTCCATGTTTCATTAAGAGCAAATTCTCGTCTCTGGAAAATTTCCATTAAATGTGATAGGAATTTGTTTGGAGTGAGAAAACTGGTCCAAAGAGCTCTGGGGACAGCTGGCTTGTTTATCCTAACCCTGGGAATTACTGCACACGTTGCACAGGGCAATGCACAGCTCTGGTCACTCTGCTCTCCCTGCTTCCTACAAATCACTCACAGAGCATGTTGCTCACCTCCTCACGCATCTTCTTCACAGTCTCTCCTTTCTGAAACAAGAAGGAGAAGCAGCCTATTACTAAAAATGCAAAACTTCCACCTTCAAAACTACCCTTTCAAACAGGCACCTCCCTAGCACACATCAACACGTAGCCAAAATTGCAGGCAGCTCTGTGATACCTTGCCCTGCATCCCCATGCAATCCTCAGATGCAGCTCTGAGTACGTCATCACAGATATATATCCAGATTCATAACTACGCATCTTCCCAGGGTTGGACAATTTGATGGAAAAATAAGGCACAAGTATACAGGGAAAACATGCTCATGCTGCAAATCTTTGCCATCATAAATCTGCCTTTTAAAACCACTCAACCCCCCTCTAGTCCTACCTAGCCAGGACTTCCCAAACCACTGTGGCAAGCACCAGAGAGCAGAGCAGCTCGGGAAGCTTTTCTGCACAAGGTAAATGTTGCCCTGTGGCTTCAGATGCAATAATTTAAATGGGTTCGTGTGACATCTTTAGTATTTTTTAATGAAGCTCTTCGATTAAAACATCAGGGCAACATGATTATAAACTCCCAGTGGCCACCCCAGTGAAGCAGCTGGGAATGGGGAAGTTTGGTGGTTGGTGTAGTTTTTAGAGGAATGGTCTTTGATCCACTGTGAGTCTCACCTAATTTCTGGCTCACGAATGCAGTAATTAGCTCATGCACCCCAAACTTTCCAGGATAACACAGGGAAGAGGTGACTGGCATCTACCACACCACAGGTGCAGGCAACAGCATTAAAGGTGCCTTAAAAGGTGTCCTTACCTTCCCAATGATGCTTCCAACTTCCTACACAAAAGAAAAAAAGCCAAAACCAAAGGAACTGACATTAGAAAATGTGATGACAATCCAGCTCAACCCCATAATGAAGTAAACACCCGGTAGACACTGTCCCTAGCAGAAGGGCAGGGTTGGGAGCAGGTAAGAGAGGGACCAGGAGCACCATGCCACCCTCCCCATCAGCAGGACCACAGCTATTCCTGGGGCTGGGACACTGTGTGTGGGGCCGGACACAGTCACAGCCAAAGGTGGGAGAGGGATCCATGGGGAAACCCCCTCTCTGGGAGCTCCTTACCTTGCCATGCATCAGCAGTCGGATGGTGAGGGTAACGTTCAGGCCACCTTCAGAGACCTTCGACTCCATTTCCTACCGGGGGACAGGAGACGTGTGTTAGCTGGGAGGGTAGCCCTGGCACAGATGGAGACAGCACAACGGCCGTATCACCTGGGGGCAAAGAGGAGAAATGTTTGCTCTTAAAACAGGTGGGATGCACCCTGCAGAGCAGCAGGATATGGGAGTAAAGACTCCAATGTGCAAGGTGGCACAGCCAAAAAGCAACTGTGGATGAAGGACCAGGGCGCTGGATGAGCAGCCTGGACGAAGACCAACAGCTGAACTGGGACTATGGCACCTATCTATCAAACCAAAACTCACCATTTCACTCAGAAAACAAAAGCCTTTTTTTCAGTAACCAGGAATTATCCATCTGACCCCAGGAGCCCAGAACGGGAAGGATGGAACTAGCATCCTGCTTGCCACGCAACCTGACCCGTGAGCTCCCCAGCTGGCCATTGTGTGGACCATGCCACTGCCACTTCCAGCCATTCATGTTCCATGGATCTAATGAAACCATGTTCTTTTCCTTTCCTATTCTCTCTTTCCTCCTCTGCCCTCTAGAGGAAAAACGCTACTGATGTGTCGAAGGCAAGGGGGAAAAAAAACACAGAATGGCAATAAATCCTTCCTTTTTCATTCCTGACACCTCCTTAGGAGCATCTCTGCATGTGGATGTGGCATATGAAATGTCCCTACAGCTCAGTGCATGGGGAGAGCAGCAGCCCCATCCCAGAGGGAGGTGCCAGCATCCTTCTATGTGCAATGCCGAGAGATATGGAGCAATTCTCCCTTGTATTATTTAATCCCTCAGTCTGTATCAGATGGGAGATTTTTTTTCATCCTGCTAAAAAGCATCTGGCATTTTCCTTCGCTTAGACAGGGACTTACGTGACCAAAAAAAACGGCCATAAACCAGTTCTCAAGTATTGCTTTAATGCAAGTCAGGATGAATGAACACACAGCAAGGCACAAATTGCATCTGCAAGATGGGTTTGATGTAAAACCTCTTCCTAGAGGTTATTATGAAACCCAAAGTGGATAAAAGCATGCGGTTATCAGGGAGATGGCATTCCCTATAGCTAAAGGACACCAGCTCCCTGGGAATGAGGTTACTTAGGACCTACGTGCAAACGCAGTTCTTGAGGCTGCTGAATGTTACAAATGAAAAAAAAAAGGTTTAAATCCTCACAAGGATAAGAAATGAAGTGTTGAACACTGGAACATGTTCACTGGAACAGGTTGCCCAGAGAAGATGTGAACTCTCCATCCCTGGAAGTGTTCAAGGCCAGACTGGATGGTGCTTGGGGCAACTTGGGCTAGTGGAAGGTGTCCTGGCCCATGGCAAGGGGGTGGAATGAAATGGTCTCCATGAACCATTCCAACTCAAACCATTCCATTATTCTATGATTCTGTGTCAAGCCAAAAGGGTGGGGAGGAGGAGAGTATTTCCTAAGAAGAAGGTGACAACACTGGAGACAAGAATAATGTCAACGGGCTGAGACACTGTAACATAATAGGAATTTTCAAGACTGAGCCCATTTTAAGGTGAACAACAAAGGGGAAATAAGTAACTGGCTATGTTGGTCCACCCCAGGCTGACTCCTGTGCATGAGAGGCAATGCCATAAGGGTTGAATAAGCTGATCTGGGGAGGTCAGCATGTCTAGTGCTCCTGATATGCCAGGAGACTGTGTTGCACCAAAGAGATCACAGAACCTCAGATGGTTTAGGCTGGAAGGGACCTTAAAGCTTGTCTCATTCCAAACCCCTGCCATGGGCAGGGACACTTTCCACTAGCCCAGGTTGCTCTAAGCCCCATCCAACCTGGCCTGGAACACTCCCAGGGATGGAGCAGCCATAGCTGCTCTGGGCAACCTGTGCCAGTGCCTCAGCACCTTCACAGGGAAGAATTCCTTCCTGAAATCTCATCTAATCCTCCCCTCTCTCAGTTTAAAGCCATTCGCCCTTGTCCTGCCGCACAGAGGGTGTCTGCCATGCCTTGCTCCACATCCCTGGCAGGAGGAGCCTTGCATCAGGCCGTTATGTAAATGTTTCCAATTGATTGAAAAAGTGGGTCATGTGTTAGCCAAATGCTCCTGGCTTTAAGATTTATCAGCATTATTAAATTAAACACGCTTCACGCTCCAGTGAGTGGGAAAGCTACATTGGCCTTTTCTTAATCATACTAGTGAAAGGTAAGTGTTTTATAGGGGGTTCATGAGCTCAATGGAAATGAACAATAGAGCTGAAACATTTACTCTGGGCACATGCCTCCCTCCACAGCCCTCATTCTTCTTGGACAAAGGGCTGGGAAAAATTATCCCCCAAAACACCATTTTGAGCATTTCAGAGCATTCCCTGTCCGCAGAGACCCATCTCAGACCCTTCCTCTTCACTATCATGTTCTGCCTTGCTCGCAGCAGCTTTGAAATGGCTCCTTTGTCCACACATTTGAAAGCCCTGAGGACATCATTACATACAGCCCAACAGATAGAGTAGATCCAGAGTCCAACTTCAACCCAGTGCAAAGCAGGTGCAGCCCCACAGAGGTCAAAACCATGGAATTTTAGGAGACAGAAGTGACAAGTCTGGCACCCAAATGGAAGTTGCACAGTGAGCCAAGCCAGGCTGTGCCAAGCATACCAGGGCAACTGCAGGTGGAGGACTGGACCATCCTCCTCCTATGTATGGGCCAAGCATACCAGGGCAACTGCAGGTGTATGTATGTGGAGCAGCCAAAAGTCATTGGACCACATCAAAAGGAGCTCTACACGGTAGGGAGATCAGCCCCAAAACAGCTGGACAATGACCTTCCAAAGGATGATCCCATTCCACAATAAATAGGCCTTTTACTTGCAGCTGCTTTTGTGAGAGTACTTAGAGGAAAGTTCATCAGTTCCCTGAACAAATCAGTTCTTCCTTGGTTTTGAGGTTAAATATATTGAATTCTGGCCCTACCCTACACCTGAAAAAGCAGCTCAGGCAACAGTGACCAAGGACAAGTAAAGAAAATGGACACCCAGAACTGCAGGAAGACTCTTCTTCCCCACATGCAAATATACACACTCAAATTTTTCTCCTTTCCAATTTTTTAGAAATTGGAGCAATTGCCCATGCTTCTGTACTTATGCTTGCTGATACCTCACAAATACTGACACCCTACACCTGAAAAAGCAGCTCAGGCAACAGTGACCAAGGACAAGTAAAGAAAATGGACACCCAGAACTGCAGGAAGACTCTTCTTCCCCACATGCAAATATACACACTCAAATTTTTCTCCTTTCCAATTTTTTAGAAATTGGAGCAATTGCCCATGCTTCTGTACTTATGCTTGCTGATACCTCACAAATACTGACACTTTGCCAAAATTCGAGCAAAACCTTGTAATTAGGGAATAACTGAACACGGTGTATTAAATTAGCTTCATAACACGATCATTTCCCAGACAGGAGATGGCACATGAAGCAGAACAGGGGGAGGAAAATGGAGCTCTGGGCTGGACTTTATTCTCTAGCCTGATTTCCACACAGGAGCTGGAAAAGCTGATGCTGGGATCCCCGGAATCATACCCCTGATTCCATATCAGGGAATGCTATCCCTGATAGCAGGGGCCTCAGCTGAGCATCAGCAGAGTCGATGTCCCTGCAGGGGCTGGGCGACATCACTGGCTCTGTGCTTGGTGAAGCCAGATCTCCTCCTCTTCCTCCTCCCATGTGTTCCTAGGGCTCCCTGGGTGCATGAGCCATGTATGAGTGAGTTTTTGCTTCATATAGGTATTTGTCTAGGGAGAATGCAATGCTTTGTTCAACCTGGCTGAAAACAGAGGACAACTCGGTGCAAAGATGCCCCATCAGTATAACTCACACCTTCCCTGCAGGGTTTGGGTGGAGAGTTCACAGGCACTGCCAAGCAAACTCAAAGGAGAAAATCTCCATCATCCCCCTTGCTCAACATATGCCCTCCAGAAAAATCACACTTTCTTGACAGAATGGTTTGGACTGGAAGGGTTCTTAAATATCATCCCATTCCGACACCCTGCCATGGGCAGGGACACCTTCCACTAGACTGGGTTGTTCCAAGCCCCATCCAACCTGGCCTGGAACACTTCCAGGGATGAGGCAGCCACAGTTTCTCTTGGTCAGCACAGGCTGATAAACTCCAAAACCTTGGAGCCCTGTTGACCAAGAGCCCTTGATGACCTGTGCCAGGGAAGAGCAGGGTGGCCAGGGCACTAGTCTCTATAGGGATGCTGTGCCACCTGCCCAGAGGATCACTCCCAAGACCTTACCCTGGAGCACCTTGCTTGCTCAATGACACAGCCACCCTGGAAAATATCCAACACACTTCCCACACTCTTTGGCGTTCCAGGAGCCCCATCAGCACAGGTATTAAAGACAATCACAAACCCTCATGATCCTCTAGCACACCGTGATATGGCACAGCCTAGATTGCTAATGGGGGTGGCAGAATTTAGTGCTGGGAATTAGCATCTCGGACAGAACTCAAAACAACATTTTCCTCTGCAAGGGAGGAAATGTTTAAACACCTCTGACCTCTCAATATCCCCTTCACAGAACTCAGACCAGGGTTTTCCGACCCTTGGAAAATGACAGATGCTTTAAATGTGGCGAAAAGCAAGAGAAGCCAGGAAAGATGTTTTTCTGACATTTTAGGCCTTCTAGTTTGTTTTCTCGGGGAGTGCTGCCTGTCCACCTGCGTAAGCAGGAGCTTTCTCCCCACTCATCTCCCACTGACTTGATCCTGCCATTAAGACTTAATCCAGAGATATTCAGTGTTGCATTCTAGCAGCTGGGAAGCACAGCGATGGAGCCAGCTCGGGATTACGACAATGATGCAGTCTGGCCAGGTCAGGATGGGGGTGGAAGGAGAAAAAAACAGGCTACAGCCAAAAACCAAAGTCAAGCATTCCCTTAAACCAAACGGAAATGCAGCAGCCACTGTTAGCCTTCGGCTGTCAGAGCATGAAGCTGTGAGAGGGCAGTAGCATCATCTACATGAGCGACACCAAATGCCATTTTGGAATAAAGCCGTAATTCCAGCTGCTGCCATTTTCCACAGCCGTAGTCATTTTGGTTGACCTTTCCTCCT